AATGTTGTATATACAATTGATTTCCGGAAGAATGAGCAAATCTAATTTTGATGCTCTCTGGAGGCAGAGGTCACAAGGTTTCATCTCATATAATTTGGACTTGCTAACCTCCTATATGGACTGAAGCTCAACATCAAGAAAACAAAGATTCTCACCACTGGGCCAATTGGCAGCATCAGGATGGATGGTGAAGAGATTGAGATAGTTAACAGTTTTCATTTACTTGGCTCCACAGTCAACATTCTTGCTAACTGCAGCCAGTAAATCAAAAGATGAATTGCATTGGGAAAGTCAGCTGTGAGGGACCTCTCAAGAGCACTGAAGAGCAACGATGTCAGGCTGGAGGCTAAGGTGCACCTGATCTGGGCTATAGTCTTCGCAATTACGTGCTATGCATCAGAGAGTTGGACAGTGAATAGGGATGATAGAGAGTTGATGCCTTTGAGCTGTGGTGCTGGAGAAGAGTGTTGAATATACCATGGACTGCTAGAAGAACAAACAGGTTTGTCCTGGAGAAGGTGAAGCAGGAATGTTCCCTGGAGTCAAGGATTCTGAAGCTTCGTCTGACATACTTTGGGCATGTTGCAAGGAGGGACTGGTTCTTGGAGAGGGCCATGATGTTTGGCAGAGTGGAGGGGCGGCGAAGGAGAGGAAGACCTTCGATGGGATGGATCGATTCTGTGACTGGAGTGGTGGGAATGAGTGTGTTTGGGATGACTAGGTTAGCACGGGATAGAATGGCGTTTAGAGCTATTGTACATAGGGTCACTATGAGTCACAAGCGACTCGATGGCACATAACAACAACAACAGAAGGGACTCTTCCCCCTGGTTAAGGGGCTTCAAATATACACACCCCTAAGGTTTGCACACTTTTGTAGCATTTATTGTACACTTGCTATATGTCTCTCCTCTATTGACCATTCTACCGGCCTTGGTCAGCTTAAGTCTTCAAATTGGCATGAAACATAGCTGCTTGTCATCGTCTTCACATGAGACTTCATTATCTAAACAGAAGCCTCCGAAAACTGTATAATAAAAACAGAGGAAATAATTATTAGTGGCCTTTAATTCTGCTAAAGACCAAACTATTTTTAAAGTTCAAATAAACTTAGCATGGGAATCTGAGCGTAATGAGGATGGTGCTTACACATTTCTTAGGAAATGGTCTTCATTATTTGGATTTCCATGCTATGGGAAAGGCTGCTGTTAGGGAATTCTCCAGGGTACTGAAGAGCAATGGTGTCACTCTGGAGACTAAGGTGCGTCTGATACAGGCTATGGTCTTTGCAATCACTTGTTATGTTCAGAGAGTTGGACAATGACTAGGGAGGACAGAAGGAGAATTGATGCCTTTGAGCTGTGGTGCTGGAGAAGAGTATTGAATGTACCATGGACTGCCAAGATAACAAACAGATTCATCCTCGAGAGGGTTAAATTAGGCTGCTCCTTCAAGGTGAGGATTCTGGGACTTTGTCTGACATACTTTGGACATGTTGTAAGGAGAGACAGGTTTTGAGAGGGACATCATGGTGGGTAGAGTGGAGGGACAGACCCTCTATGAGGTGGGTTGATTCAGTGACTGGGGTACTCGGATGGGTGTGTCAGAGTCAATGCAATTGGCACAGGATAGAGCAGGGTTTAGGGCTGTTGTACACAAAGTTGCTATGAGTCACAAGTGACTCAATGGCACATAAGAACAACAACACTTACCAACACCGCTAGGACCCACAGACCAAGTTGTTGTGATTAGATGTCATCAAGTCAACTATGACGCATAGTCACCATATGAACAACAGATAGGAACCCTGCCCTGTCTTGTATTCTCTCAGAATCTCCGATATACGTGAGCCCATTTTACTGTCACGGGGCCAATCCCTCCCACTGAGGGTCTCCTCTCCATCGCTGACCCTCCACCTTCCCAAGCATGGGATCGTGCTTTGTAAAAAGTGCAGCGATAGAGAAGCTGTGGTGTATTCACACAAAGGAGTACTACACTGCATTGTAAAACAAGGAACTCACGAAATATTATACAAAATGGGTGACCCTGGAGGACCTTAGGCTGAGTGAAATATCTCAGTCACAAAAGAGACAAATACTGCATAGTGCCACTGTTATAAAGGAGAACTGACATAGGAGGTGGGAGTGACTAAAAAAGAGGGGGATAAAAATGTATACTGCATGGAAACCGATGAGGGAGAGAACTGTTTAAAACGGTTATATGATTAGGTATTATTGTCATAACAGGAGTCTAGAACAAAGGTTGCACAGTGGAGTGGACTTGAGGGGAGAGATTGTATAACAATGAAAGAATTATTATTTTTTCTTTTCAAAGAGGAGAGTGAAATGTGGGGGGAGGGGTGAGCAGTGAAAAAAGTGCAACAATGAATGAATGGAAATCCAAAGTCTCTATGAACTTTCATTAAAATTAATTTTTTAAAAAAGTGCAGCAATACTGTTCCTTAGAAACAAAAGCCTTGGGACTTCATTGCTTGTTCTTTGGATATTTTTTCATGAGGGATCACTCCACAGAGAAGGACATTAGGTTTGTAAAAATAGAGGGTCAGTGGAAAGCAGAAAGAACCTCGATAAAATTGATCAGAACATGACTGACTCTGAGAAGAATGGGCATCCCAGAACTCTTGATTGTGCTTATGCGAAACCTATACTTGAACTGGGGGCAGTCATCAGAACAGAGCAAGGAGACACTGCATGATTTTAAATTTGGAAGGGTGTACACCAGAAATGTGTCTTATCTCCATACCTATTCATGTTATATGCAGAACAGATCATCCAGGAGGCTGGGCTCTATGAGGAGGAATGTGGCATCAGGATTGAGGAAGGCATATCAACCATCTGTGTTATGCAGGTGACACAGCCCTGCTTGCTGAAACTGAGGAAGACCTGAAGTGCTTGCTGCAGAAGGTCAAAGACTGGAGCCTTAAGTATGGTTTATAGCTCAACATCAAGAAAACAAAGATTCTCACCACTGGGCTGACTGGCCGACTCATGACAGATGGTGAAGAGATTGAGGTTGTTAACAGCTTCAGTTTGCTTGGCTTTACAATTAATACTCTTGGTACCAGCAGCCAGGACATTAAAAGACAAATTGCATTTGGAAAGTCTGCTGTCCAGGACCTCTGCAGAGTACTGAAGAGCAATGATGTCAGTCTGGAGACTAAGGTGTGCCCAATCCAGGCTATGATCTTTGTAGTTACTTGCCTTGTGTCAGAGAGCTGGACAATGACTAGCGATGATAGAAGGAGAGTTGATGCCTTTGAGCTGTGGTTTTGGAGAAGACTACTGAACATACCATGAACTGCTAGGAAAACAAACAGGTTCATCCTAGAGAGGGTGAGACCAGACTGCTCCTTGGAGGCACGGATTCTGCAGCTTCATCTGACATACTACTGGCATGTTGCAAGGTGGGATCAGTGTTTGGAAAGGGACATCATGCTTGGGAGGATGGAGGGAACAGATCAAGAGATTAAGACCCTTGATGAGATGGATCGATTCAGTCACTGGGGTGGTGGGGGTAGGTGTGTCAAAGACATTAAGGTTGGCACAGGATAGAGCAGGGTTCAGGGCTGTTGTACATAGGGTCGCTAAGAGTCAGAAGTGACTCAGTGGCACATAACAACAATGGCATCTCTATGGATCAGAATTGATTGGATGGCAATGGGAAGATACAGGCAATGACGGTAGCATTATGGGTTGGAAAAGAGCAGGGACCTTGTCTAATAGCAGTGGGGAAGAAGTAGAAAGGCAGAACATGAAGCTGGGCCTGGAGAAAAGACTTGTGATGAAGGCTGTCTTAACTGCCCACAAGCCATTGCCCAAAGTAGAGTGAGGTGCGAGGGCGGGATGTGGGCAACAGAAGCAAAAGGAGAAAGAGAAGGCTGTGTGCTTATGTGTACGTTGGTCTTCCCGTGAGCTGAGACGAGGGGCTCCCCAGTACCTGTGGGGGTTCATTTAGAATGCTCTTGGACTCATCTGTGTGGGTGACAAGCTGGGAAGAACACTGATGTGTGTGATTTATCCCAGCCCACTGAATTCAGCATGGGATCAAATAGGAACAGAGCTCCCACATGGCACAAGCTAACCTTAGACTTGGGAATCTTAACCCGTGACCTGGAACAGTTCTTATCTGCCCAGAGACGCCTGCAAAGGCTTGGTCATTTGCTTCTGGAATCTCACAGCCACTGAAAACTCTATGGATCATATTTCTCCTCTGACCCACATGGAGTCGCCTCAAGTCAGAATCAACTTGATGAGAACAGATGCTTCGGGTTTTTTGTTTTGTTTTGTGTTTTAAGTGAAAGGAACCAGAACAGGCAGCTTGACGTTGAGGCAGGGAAGGGATTTATTGACTTATGGAAGATGTTTCAACCATAACGGCTGTGAACTGAGACACAGTGTGTCTTCGGCAGCCCAGGCAGAAAATTCAGGATTATATACACACACCTCACACTGGTCAATTTCTCCGACTTACATCCCTTTGCGGCACCGTGGTGCAAAAGTGCTAAGATGACCTAGATTCTCCGGAGCTGTGGGTTGAAGCCCACAGTCCGATGGAGGCTGAGACAGTCTACCAGCCTCAACAAGCTATTAACCCTCTATGAATTGTGTTACCTCCTTGTCTGTAGAAGTGGAGAGGCACAGAGATCTGTTTACATATGTGGAAAGTACCAGCCTTCTAAAGTTGAGTAGTAGATATGGCTCTGTAGTTAGAGCTGAAGAAGAGGCCAAAACTGTTGCAAGGAAATCTCAACAACCAAAGCCAAACTCATAGCCAGCAAGTGGATTCTGACCCTAGTGATGCTGGGACACATAGTAGAGCTGTCCTCTTGGGCTTCAGAGTCTGTTAATATTTTTATTTTTTTGTAACAGTGTATGTCATCTTTTATTGGACAGAGTTCTCAATCTAGGTGACAAAGGACTGTTCAAGAAGGGAAGGGTGCCTGGGCAAAGGCACCCGGCCAGGAATGCAGACGGCGCCTCTTAGTGGTACTTCCATAATTGTTCATGTTTGAGCTCCTTGTAAGAAAGGCAGTAGCTGAACACCACGTAAGCTGTCAGCACCATGGACAGCCCAGCAATGCTCCCCTTCTTCACGTTGACGTACTTCTTGGAGCCTCGCTGGAACGCTCCTGTGATGCCGCTTGGGGTGAAGTCCTGCATCAGGATCCAGCTGGGCGGCTCCCCCAGTTTTACATCCACCAGCCTCCTCTCCTTCAGCGGCACGATGGAGGTCATCTTGGAGTCCTGGAGACTGTTAATCTTAAACTGGAGTGAACTAGATCTTCCCTCTCCCTGGAACACCTGGAGGGGTCAACTGGTATTTCCAGGAGCAGCAGCCCCAGGCCGCCTGGGCTCTGTCAGCAAAAATACAATCTAAAAAAATGTTGTTTGTTTTGTTCTGAAGTGCTAGAACATGCTTGAAACTACAGAATGTTTTTGTTGTTTCAAAACTGCAAGGCCCACTTGGTGCCGAGAGAAGTGTTAACTGAAATTGGCCCAAGGGGTGTCTTCCACAAACTTCCCTCCTGTTCCTGGCCTCTGTGCGTCCCCCAAGAGCTTCCTTCCATCTTTCCAACAGAATACCTTCTCATTCTCCATGTGTCTTTGCCCTAACTATGGATGGAACAGTGATGGATCCAGAGGGCACAAAGACCCACAGCGGAGAGACATCCCCAGGTGACCTAGTGGACGCTAGAGATGGAGCTGCCTTCCTGCTCTACTACGGGCAGTGCTGCCTCTGTGGGAAGAGTGAGACAAGCTGACAGGGGGTCTGGATGCAGATCTTTTTATTGTTAGGTGCTGTCAAGTTGAGTACGACTCACAGAGACCCTACAAACAACAGCTCTGGACTCTGTGCTGTCCTTTGCTGTCCTCACCACCTCTGACACACTTGAGCCATTGCTACAGTCACTTGTTAATCCATCTGGTTGAAAATCTTTCCTCCTTTCATTGACACTCTGCCTTTCCAAGCTAGATGTCCTTCTCCAAGGAATAACCTTTCCTAGCAACATGCCGTGGACTGCTAGGAGAACAAACAGGTTTGTCCTGGAGAGGGTGAAGCCAGAATGTTCCCTGGGGGCAAGGATTCTGAAGCTTTGTCTGACATACTTTGGGCATGTTGCAAGGAGGGATAGGTCCTTGGAGAGGGTCGTCATGCTTGGGAGGGTGGAGGGACAGCGCAGGGGAGGAAGACCCTCGATGAGACGGATCGATTCTGTGACTGGAGTGGTAGGAATGAGTGTGTCAGAGACAGTGAGATTGGCACAGGATAGAGCAGGGTTTAGGGCGGTTGTACATAGGGTCGCTATGAGTCACAAGCGGCTCGATGGCACATAACAACAACAACAGCAACATGCTCAAAGTATTTGAGGAAAAGCTTTGTCTTCATAGCCTCCGGGAAAGACTTTGGCTACCTTTTCTCTAAGACATATCTGTTTGTTCTTACGGCACTTCACAGGATATTCGGTGCTCTTCTCCAATACCACAGCTCAAAGACATCAATTCTTCTGTCATCATCATTCACCGTCCAGTTCTAAGATGCAGAGCAAATGAATGATTTAATAGATTATGGCCTGAATCAGGCACATCTTAGTCTTAAGACTTACACCATTGCTCCACGGTAATTTGTAGAAATCCATGACTTTAGACTTTCCCAGTGTGATGCGTCTTCTGATCCCCTGACTGCTAGTTTGAAGTATATTGTTTGTGGATCCAAGTCAGCAGAATTTGGCAGTTTTAGTCTTTTCTCCATCAATCTTGATGTTGCCTGTCAGACCGTTGGTGAAACTTTTCAGGTTTTTGTTGTGGAGATGTTATCCATATTGAAGGATATCTGAAGGATACAGGGTAAAAGGTCTAGGTTGGTGGTCAAGAAGAACTCTTGGAGAAGGTGGCCAGCAGTGCGCATGTGAGGGAGGAATATTTGTCAGAAGAGCTGGGGCACAGGCTGAGTCAGAATGAGAGGCATGAGGGGCAGCCCGAGTCACAAGCAGAAGTGTGGGCTCACCAGAAAACCAGGCCAGTCAAGCTGCTATGGGCATAGCCTTGGGTGTGGATGGCGGGGTGGACATGGCAGGGCTGGAGTGCCTCAGGGGCCGTTAGGAAGTATTTAAAAAGCTTTGTTCTTCATGCAATATTATTGAAAATGGGTGACCCTGGAGGACATAATGCTGAGTGAGGTATCTCAGTCACAAAGGGACAAATGCTATATGGTGCCACTATTGTAGAATGAGGCTGACATCGGGGTGGGGGTGAGACTGAGAAAAACTGGATAAATTATGTTCACTGCATTGAAGTCTATGAGGGAGAGAATAGTTATATTTGGGGTAGGGGTGGGGTTGGGAGGTGCAGGGGGGATTGTGTACCAATGAAAGAGTTTTGCTTTTCAAGGAGAGGAGCAAACGGGGGAGGGGGGGAGAAAAGTGCAACAATGAATGAATGGAATTCCAAAATCTCTGTAGATATTCATTGAAATGAAAAAGAAATAAATAAATTTTTAAAAAATGCTTTGTTCTAGTTTCTCTTAAAATGGTTTTTCTCTTATTGTTATTATACATCATTCCTCTCCTCCTTCTCTGCCTTCCCTCCACCCTGATGTCAGTCCCATTTTACAACAGTGGCCCTATGCAATATTTGTCCTTTTATGATTGAGATATTTCACTCAGCATAATGTCCTCCAGGCTCATCTATTTTGTATAGTATTTCATGAGTTCCTTGGTTTTCAGTGCTGCATAGTATTCTGTTCTGTGAATATACCAGAGCTTCTCTATCCATTCATTTGTTGATGGGCACTTGGGTTGTTTCCAACTCCTTGCTATTGTGAACAAAGCGGTGATAAACATGGGTGTGCATATATCTGCTTGGATGATAGTTATGGTTTCTTTAGGGTAACTTCCCAGTAGCGGAATTGCTGGTCAAACTGTATTTCTATTTGCAACTTTGAGAAAATGCCCTACAGCCTTTCTTAGCGGTGACACCATTTTACACTCCCACCAACAGTGAATAAGGGGGGAAAATGTTTTACTAATATCCCTTTTTTAAAAATGGCCTTTCTCCTGCATCATCTTCTTGTTGCTCCTGACTCACAGGCCCACCTCCTCCACCTTCATGCTCCCCTCCAAGCCTTTCGTGCTTCTAGCTACGTCCATCTGTTTCCACCCGACTCTTCTCTCCACCCTTACAGCTAGGTCTGTGCTGAGTGCCAGCGCCTCTCTGTGAAGGATGCTGTCTTCCTTTGTCTCTGCAAACTCCAGAAGTGCAGAACCTGTCTAGCTTTCTCAACAGTTACTGCTCACTGTGGATGGCTTGTGCACGAGTCGGGGGAGGAGAGGCACACACTCTTACGCCCAGCAGACTCCAGGGAGAGGCAGCACAACGGGGAACTCGATCCTGGCATTTCTCTCTCCACTTCCCGAGACCTGAGCTGATGAATTCTGAGCATGCACCGGCCAGCCAGCATTTCTAAGCCACTCTCAGCAGCTCAAGCTCCCGTCCTCACTTTCAGCTGGAGACGAAATTGCTCCAAGTGCAATATGAGACTGACATTTAGAGCAGGCTGGTCTGAGGCTCAGTGGCCAGCATCAAATAATTTTAATAACCAGAAGTGACAGAAAGTCACGGAGTCTGAGATATTGCTGTGGGAGCCCAGAGCTCAGCAGTAGAGCTGTGTTCTACAGGGCCCACGTCTAGTATTTACTGGGGAAAAAAGAGTTTCCATGTTTATGGCAGTAGAGGTTAAACCCCTTAATCAAGCCAATTCCAGTTCAATGTCCATGACCTTTGGGGATCTCTTTGGAGCCACTACCTTTCCCCATTTAGACGTTGTCCATAGTTAAACCTGCCCATTGCCCTGCTGATAATCATTATACATCTGCAAAGGGCCCCAAGATGGTCTCCTGGCTGCCTTCTTTCACCTCAAAAGCCCTGTGGTGAACTAATTTCCACACATCTTCACCAGGACACACCAAAGGTGTCTCCTGTTCAGCAAGTTCACACATTTGACTGTGTCAGTCACTACCTGCCAAAGCCCACCTGGCCGGACAGGCAGTGTGCTGTGTTGTTGACCTTGTGAGATGCCTGCTGGTCCACGATGCCTCACGGCGGCCTCATGGAAGACGGAATGAGGTCCCCGCTGGATCCTGTGCTAGCCTCACCGTCTCTGCAGTGCTGCAGTCACCCTGTCAGTCACCTTTTCGAGGGTGTCCCCCCTTTTCACTGGCGCTTTCTGCTTCCTCTAGCATGGTGTTCTCCAGGCCCTGGCGAAGGTTAGTGATGAAGAAGTCTGAGTGTAAGTGACTAATTTCTGGTGTCTGCTCTGTCACTTGAGACCTGTGAACCAGAGAACACGGCAAGTCTCCAATCTTGAAGTGCCTCACCTTTACTCCATGGTTGCATATTTCCTTGTTGTTTTGGGAGGAGAAGGGACCACTAATTCCATTTAAAATGTTTATCTCCCTGTCTGTGTAAGGGCCAGCATGGGCAGTGAGGTTGCAGAGAGAAAACAGAGTGGGCATGGCCAGCTGGGGCCTGTGGACTTCTGAGAGGAGAAGTCAGTTGTGCAGACAGCCCGTTGCTGGATGCTTAAAAGGAAAAGCCAGCTTGATGCTTCAATTCCCTCTCTAGCTTAGGCTAATTCATCTCTGAATCTCATCAATGTTGCTTTCTAAATATCTGTGATGTTGAATGGAGCAGAAATGGCCAATGTTTCATTCTGTTGTTCATAGATAAGGCTGCTGTGAGTTGGCATTGACTCGATGGCATCTGACAACAATAAATATCTCTGATGGTTGTCATTGTTTTCTGTGTCCAGTAGCAATTCTCTGTCAGAAGATATACCGTACACTCCCCTGCTAGCCTGCTGAGCTGGGAAGACCAGTCCTGACCACGGAGGGTTGGGCAACAAAACAAAACAAAACAAAAACCTTGAGATCCAGCTGATTGTGACCACAGTGGTTGAGCACTCCTGGCTTTTGTTCTGAGGATATAAATCCTTATGGAAGTGGCTTGGTTCATCTTCCTCCTGAGCAGTGACGGCTGGGTTTGAACCACTCACTGTTAGGTCTGTAGCCATATGACTCACCTCTGCTCTCACATGTGGTACTGGCTCAATGGTTGGTAGCGGCTATTTTACCAGTCTGTGAGGGTTGGGGATCCTATGTTATGTTGTTATTATGTGCCGTCGAGTCGCCTGCGACTCATAGCGACCCTATGTACAACAGCCCTAAACTCCTCTCTGT